GATCTAGCAGGAAATCCAGAAAGTATCCTAATTTGAATATATCAAGATGTCTTCAATAACTTACTATGCTCTGAACCTATCCATGATTTCTTTTAGTAGCAAAGTCACAAGAAAATCTGACATTGCTGTGATTATGCCTACATTGGTAATGGAAGAACAAAAACTAATAAACTCCTGTTAGGACTAAGACAAAAAAAAAAGACAAAAAGTATCCCCATTCAAGATTTCAAATCTCCTGAGTTCTACTCATAGATCCTTAAGCAAAAATTTCTCAATTCATAGATTCCAGATCCCTGGCCTTCTCCAAGACACTTTGAGAGAAGCCACATGGTCAAAGATATTTTTACAATAATACTAAGATATCTACTGCCTTTTACTCTTATTCACACTGGAGTTGCAATAGTTTTCCAAAGGCCATAGGAGACATGATGGCTCCATCAGCGTTCCAGAGTTTTAATATTCCTGCTTGAATTTCTAAATGGCAAAAATGGAGAGAGATGACCCACATAAACAAAAGCGTTCAGGTATCCTCAACAATTTTATGGCAATAGGAGTCTGAAACCAAAGGGTAGGAAAAAAACATTAACCACTATTAGAAGTCCAAGAACCTCAAGTTAATAACCTTACATAGTACACTTTCAAACACCTCCCAGATGTCACTTTATGACTCTTGGCTCTGGCCGCCTCCTGGTGCCAGGAATGGAACTTTCGCAAAAGAATGTACGATTTCCTTCCCAGCAAAGTGAACAAGAGAAGGAAAAACAACAAATTGCTTTCTGGGTTAGTTCCATCTGACCAAGCCTGAATTCTTCAAAGGAGAACAAATGTTTAAACCCACGCAACTAGTTTTCTTCTACTCTATCTGTCCACTGTCCCCTGAAGCATCTAACACAGCACCACACAGACACGCCCAAGGCACTCACAGGCTTCCCACCCCACCTCCTCACCCTGCAGGACTCCCAGACGCCTGCTTCATACAGCAGCTTTCTCCTCATCCCAGCGCACAACAATGCCCACAGCCCCTAAAGTCACATTTTTCAAAAGATGATTGGGAATTTCCTTTGAATTATACAGGAAATCTTTACTCCTACTCCCATTCTATGTTATTTTCCAATCCCTCCATATAACATCTTTGCTATAATACAACAAAAAAAAAAGAATCTTTGGTATTCTTTCTTGGTACTCGACCTCAGTCAGGAGGAGAAAAGCAATATAAGCCATACAAAGCCAGGACAAGGAATCAGGGGAGTTTTAAGAAGCAGACAGTGAGAGGATTTAACAACACTGAGGATGCAGCAGTGGAAGCCAGGCTGGTCAGTGAAAGAATAAACAGGAAATAGGAAATGGGGACTGCAGCTCAGTGGTAGGGTGTGTACTAGCGTGCATAAAGCCTCATATTCAATATTCATTCCCAAAAACAGTAACAACAAAAAAGAATAACTAAACTGGCACAAAACCTTGTCCTAAGAGCATATAAATTTAAGCAGCAAATAAGAAATAGCCAGACCGAAAACAGAAAGATGTAATAATAGGATGAGAACCCAAAAGAAGCAACAAAAAAATCAGGGAGAAATAGTACAAACCAAGCATCCTGCAGCCATTTAGTGCGGACAAATGACCGTGTATCACTGATATAGAATAGCAATGGCTTGAAGCCATTTTTTAAAACTTAAATTAGGTCAAAAAGAAAACAGAAACTGAAAGAGAATTAGAGGTATAAAGGCATAACCTTCCATTATTTCACTAAACTCACTGCTCTGGTTTCTTAGAAGCATTAGCATCAGAAAAAAAAAAGAGAGAGGGTTATGCCTGGCTTCAAAGAAAGACATACCCCTACCACCACCACAAATAACTTTGTCTTCCTATCAGCTCAATGAAAAGATTCAACTTCGCATGTAACTCCATCCTTTTGCCTTTTTTTTTTTTTTTTTTTACATTTTAGATCACATGGTGGGGGCATTAGTGCATAAGAGAACATGTATGATGGAACTGCACAGTATTTACCCTTCAACTAGTCGACACCAAGATATTAAAAAATATAATAATGGTAAAAGAGTTAAGTCATGATCTGAAGCAAAAACTGTGGTTGCAAACTGTTTACAATCCAAGATGGTCACAGCCTTGGCACTAGAAAAATTTAAACACAGATTTAAAAAATGTTTTCAAATCATATAAGTTTACTTCACGTCTCCAGAATTTTCTGAGGCAGAGATAAGTTGTAGTAATATCTTTTATCTTCTTCTTCTTTTTTTTTAAATTGGGGATCAAACTCGGGACCTTGCGCTTGTCAGGCAGGCACCTTAATAGCTTTTATACGTTATGCAGTAAATGTTTAACTGCTTTTAATTGATAATATATTTAAGATTTTTAACAAAAACATTTTAACAAAGGGCAAAACTTTATTAGAAAATTTGTTCTAATTGTTAGATATATATACTATAGACCTATGGCTTCTGTATTTTGATATTCCCACCTTTCTACTAACTGGACAAATCAGGGCATTTTTCACAAAGTTACTTTTCAAAGCAACTTCTATTAACATAATTATTGAAGACTTATTTTCTTTCCCTTATCACATACTGTTTTCTTC